CTTAGAGTGGCTGCTGTGCTTTAGTTCTAGCAGGTCATCCAAGCTTGGAGATGGTATGGCTCTTGGCCACCTCAGCCCATCCTCCTCTTGTAGAAAATTTCTCAGTCCCACAGGACTGAAGTTTTTTATTTCCCCTGAGAGATCAGTCTCTCAGTGGGACCTACATGTAACCCTTGCTGCTCTGATGGGTGGGGCCACCATTTGAGCCTATAACTTGTTATCTTCTTTACTTGCCTGCAAAGATGGCCACCTTAATATCCTTGCTTGGGCAAGAAGAATTGGAGCAACACAGGTGCTAATGGCAAACCCTCCATTTGCTGTGTCTTTTATCCTGATAGTTTCCTTAAGGAGAAATCTCTAGTTCCTGCCCAATGTCATTATGGAGGTTCACTTGAGCCAGCAAATCCACTGGCAGTGCTGCCACTGGCAAATTCTCAATGGGCACAAATTGTGACCCAGAGACTGTCCCAGTGTGTCTGTGTCAAGGCATGCTATCTTACTGGCTGTGGCCTAGATGAGGGTTGTCCCATCTAATTATCTTAGATGAGGGCTGTCCCACTGGTAAGTGGCCAGGGCCACGTGCCCCCCCCCGGGCAACATTGTACAGGCCATAGTCACAGAATGCAGCAGGCACACACCCCACTACCTCGCCCCTTGCTGCACCATACCAGACCCCTGTATAGCACACCACATGCCCCTGCACAGCTGGCGCACACCCTTGCTGTACTGTCCTGCCATGCTGCCCCATGTAGGCTTCTCAGGTCCTCCCTTAGCCTGGCTTCAGACTCCCTCAGCACAACAGACCACACTACTCCACTCCCAGAGCAGTAGCAGGCAGCTTAAGCAGGAGAAGGGAGTGAGAGCCCAGAGACTCAAGTGCAGGAGTGGGTGGTTATTTCGGCCGGAGGGCTGCTTAATGAGTTTTGGTGAGCTGTCCAGGGCCACAAGGGTAGCCCCACCCCCTGATCACCATTTGGGACTGGAAGTGCAGCCCCTAGCCCTGACCTTTTGCTACTGGAAGTCCCTCCCCAGTGCAGCCACAGCTTTTCCCAGTGCTTGGGTGGAGGCGGGGTATTCAGCCATGGCTGTGCCAGGTGGCAGCGTGGAGCTGGGAGCAGAGTTGCTGCGAAATTTGGGGTGGCTGCAGCCTCCTCCCAGTGCCGCCAGAGCCCACTTGGAGCCCAGTCTCTGGCGAGAAGAGCCCTGCACAGCACTGGCTCCGGAGCTCCACCCCGCAACTGCACCCTGCCACACAGATCCGGGGGCACATGCCCCACGCGCGCGCACACCCCTGGGGTGCAAGCAGCGGCAGGGGGCGCCCCCCCCCCCCGCCCCCTCCCTCCATGAGTTGCACCTCTGTCCTGTGTGCCCCCCGCCCCGTCCTGGCTGGGCAGTGCCTGCCCCTGCCCCCTCCCTCACCACAGGGGGGTTGATCTACCCCCGCCCGCCCCTTCCCATCAGGCTGATATCTGATATAGACAATTTTTTTTTATATCAGTACCAATCCAATATTGGACTGATGTATCAGTGCACCTCTAACTATAACATTTTAATTTTATTTCAGAAAATGTTTTTGTCCTGATTTATGTGTACTTGTAGCGTATATAGAGGTGATTGCATAATAGCTCAAAAATAGTCTTACTCTTGTATATTGGGGGGGGGTTGTGAGGGGGTGCGGCTGTGTGTTGGGGAAGTGGATGTTCAGGGGTGTGAGCGTGTGTGTATATATGGGGGGGGTTGTGGGGTGTGAGGAAGGATGGGGGATGTAGGAGACCCCCCACACACCTCCCTTCCTCCCCCATGGCGCAACCCCCCTGCTGCAGGCAGCGGCTCTTGGAATGGTCATGCCCCGTGCAGGTGCAGCCACCCAACAGCACGCAGCTCCAATCAGTTCTGGGAGCTGCATGTGGCAAGGAGTGAAGCCAAGCCAGCCTGCCTATTGCGCAGGGTTCCCTGCTACTCATGTGTAGCTCCTGGGACTCACTTCCCACAGAGAGAAAGCCCTGCACAATAGAGCCAGCTGCCTTCCCCACTCCCTGCCTCCATGTGCAGCTCGCCAGACTCTGCCAAAAGTGGCCAGGAGTCCCATTCCCTGCTTCCCAGCAGAGTCCCGGGAGGCACATGTGGTGGCGGCAGGGAGAAGGGAAGGCAGCTGGCTCCATCGTGCAGGGTTTGCCTCCAGAAACATGCGAGTCCCAAGAACTGCACATGAGTGCTGCAGTTAAAAGCAGAATTTAAACCTAGTGCAGTTAAGAATTGACACACCTCATTCAATTAATAGCAGAAAGGCTTTAATAACAATACTATACATGAGCTACAAAACTAAATGACAGAAAAAGCATCTTTCTCAATATTTAGTAAATGAGCTATTACAAAGTCCTAGTATGTATTAGCTGCAAGAGTTTTCTCACCAATGCAGGGAAGGAAGCAGTTTCAGTCTTTACAGCTTTCACTGAGTGGCATCCTTCATTGTGATGTGCTGGGTTCGATGTAGTGATTTCTGTCTTTCCTAGATCACACACCTTGCTGGCAATTCTTTTGTGCTCTTATACTGTTTAATTGAATAGCTTCAAATCATTCCTCCTTGATAGCTGGTCCATTAAAGTCCAAACAAAGCAGGTAGGAAGGGACCACTACATTACAATTGTTAACTACAAGGATCCTGTTTTTGGGTGTCTAGGTGTTAAACTTGTTTTTGCAAGCTTTTGAGGGGTACAGAGGTTACACTGTAATCAAGTAGGATGGGTTTTGATGGACTGAAAATGGATCTTGATTGGCTGAACAGAATATCTTGGGACTTTGACAGGTCACTGTCTTTGGGTAATTGTTTTAACAATGGGGCAGAATCTACATTTACAACAGTTCACATGGTGATGGTCTATAGAAGCATTTGCAAAACTCCAGACATACATTGAATGCCTGTTCTCAGAGATATGCCTTAATCAAGAAGGAATGTGTAAACAAGGATGCATCACATAGATATTTACTAATGGTTTAGCCTAATAAAACATTGGGTACTTTTTCAACTAGCACAGGAGATAGAGTAATCCCAATTGACTCTTTTGCATTGTCCCAGTCATGATCTTGCATTCTTGTGCAAGATGCACTGTTATTTTAATTTGGTCATTTAAATTTCATGTGTAGGTCCAGCCAAGCTTTTACAATCACCAGTGAGCACTGAGTAATAGAGGCAGGCTGGCCTGGCTCCACTCATTGCTACCATGTGCAGCTCCCAGAACTGACTGGAACTGCGTGCCACCAGGCAGCTGCATCTGCCTGGACTATTGAGTGCCCCAGGGGCCTGCTGCTGCCGCCACTGGCAGTAAAGGTTGTACGCCATGGGAGGCATGGGGGGGAAGCGCATAAGGGGGGTCCCCACAACCTTCCATCCTCCCTCACACTCCACAAACCCCACACCCACATCCTGGCCACCTGAGCTCCACGCCGCCCTGCTGAGCACGGGCCCTGGGCCTCACATTCCTGCCAGCCCTATGCTTCATGCTCCTGTCTAGCTACAGCTTCCCCCTGGTCCACTGCCACTTCTCTACCTGGTGCCCAGAGCAAGCACTGCAGCAGGGAGTCAAGGAGGAGCCGCTGGAGGCTGGGGAAGCCGAGCAGGTCCCCCGGTAGCTTCAGCAGTGACAGCAGCAGCCCCACCCAGAAGTTGTCCATGCTGGCCGGGGTCAGGATGGGAGCAAAGCATGCAGTCTCAGCAGAGTTCAGTTAATTGGTGGGCGCCTACAGACTGGATGGAATCACCTGGTAAGCCGAATCTGGCCTGCAGGCTGTATTTTGCCCACCCCTGCTCTAGCAGCAGTGCCCAGCCTAGGGACTGCTGTTAATCCCTCGAGGCCACGTGTAACCCGCAGACCACTAGTTGGAGAGTCCTGGATTAGCTGAAAATTTTTATTTGTTCAACCCCTGTGTGGGCTGCTTGTTTCTTTCTCTTTTTCCAGTTTGACTCTTGAAAGCATACCTCTCCAATGTCTTACTCTGCCTTCATCTGAAGGAAACAAGTTTTTTTTTCCAGTGACAAGACTTAGAATGCCCGTGCCCTGACTTCTGAAGAACCGCCCAGGATTGAGTGTAGTAGGCCACCAGTGTGGCTATGTCCAATGGCTGTCTTTTTCACTTCCTTCAACTCTCTTGCTCCGTGCCCCCAATCTCTCACCACCCATACACAACACTTCTGCAGAGGTCAGGATTAAAAATCCTGGCTCACAGTTTAACCATGCTTACAAGATCACAGACTTAGCTGGTACTACATTTTTGACCCCCTAAACTCTTCCTTTTTAATGCATCACAGTCGCAAGCCTTGCTGCTTCCGTGCTGTAGTTAGTAGTGAGTAGCTTTTATGCAACTCTGTTCCAAGCCCTTGTGAAAGGTTGAAGACTTTAAAAAAAGACTGATTCAGAATAAAGTTAAAATGCCTATGGTCTTCCCTTTTCACAACAGCAGCCATTGGCAAACTGAGAATTCTAGTAAGGTGCTAGGACCTGTATGTGGTCAGAGTTTATCTTGGAAATTTTCCCTTTAAATACTGCATTCTTTTTAACTCTTGCTTCTGTGGTATTTTTGTTCTGGATTGGGGAAATAATGGAGGTCTATCTTGGGAGTATTTAGGATATGGCCTTATTTTTTTCACTTCTTTATGCTCATTTGAGTTCTTTCATGTTGTGGGGAAGGGGAGAATGGACACAGGCTAGTGTCATAGGCCACAACTTTAGTTATACTTTTCTTTTATTTCCTTTTGCACTAGTAGCTGTGCTGCACTGAGACTGCACAGGTACCCAGGAAAATTATGAATGCAGAGCTGTGCTGGCAGCTGTTCCTGCTTTCAGCTGTAAAATACTTGGACTCTGTTCTGTGGCTGTGCCTGTAGGACTGTACACCTGCCCCACCTTGTGCCACTAGGGTAGTTGCAGACACGCTGCAAGAGTGTGAAGAAGCGGGGAATTCCCTTTCTGTACACTTATCCTTTTCAATCTTTTCCCCTACAGGCATCTTTTCTCCTATATCACAAAAGACAAGCAAGCAGAGAGCCTGGTGGAAAAGTTGTGCCAGCGATTCCGGACTGCCAAGTGAGTTGCACTGTAAATTTTCCAGAACAAAAGAGCCAGTGTAAGTTTTGTGACTGCCATCAGAGTAAGCTTGCTCTTATATGGTGGTGAGAGGAGTCTTCTATTGCATGGCTCACATATTATTTCAGCAAAGCTTGTTTTGGGGTTTGGGACCTTCCTTTCCCACTTCAAAAAAGGACTAACGGTATTTTGAGACTAGCAATGATATCTGAGGCTGTTACTCTGGGGTCATCCCTCAAGCTTCTAAGGAGGTTATATCATTGCAGCAGAGTTTGGTTATAGTGGTGTTCAGAAAGGAAATTATCCCACCCAAGTCTAGGTGGACCACAGAAAAGGTCCTTTCTATAGTTTTTTTTTCTCCATGTCCACTTAATGGAGTTCTGTATCATTTGTTAGTAAATTGCCCACCCCATTCACTAAGGGATCTACACCTTCCTTGGTCTTCCTCTTACTTCTGATATGCTTGTCAAATGTTTTTATTATTGCCTTGTATGGCTCTTGGTAGTTGCATCTCAGTTCATGCCATAGCCTTCCTGATTTTCTTTTTGTGTGCCTGTGTAATGCACTTATTTCTCCACTAGCCAGCTGACCGTCAAGAAAGATGGGGGGTTGGGGGGAACAGGCAGGGATGGAGCCCTGTGCACCCGCAGCCACTGCTGCCATCACCTCCAAGGAGCAAGGCGTGGGGGTGAGGCTAGCTCTGGTGGCCTTGGCCTTCTGCCCCCTCGCCCCGCTCCATCATCACCACCTGCAGGGAGCAGGGCAGGAGGGGGCAAGGGCAGCACTGCTTGCCCCTTCCCCACCCCATTCTGTCCACTCCGTTGCCGCCGCCTCCAGGGAGCAGAGCTGTGCTGGCCTCGCCTCCCCTTCCCCACTCTGTCCCCTGTGTCCCTGCCATCATGGTGGCACTCCACCGCACCGCCACCTCCTGTCCGAACACTTCTTCACACTCTGATTGGCTGTTTGTCAGCCAATCAGAGCACGAATAAAGTGTTATGGACAGACAGACGGACAGATTAAGCCTTTTATAATATTAGAATACTAGTATGACCAAGTTTCCACTTTTTGTCGGATTCCTTTTAAAATTTCAGCTTTAGAGAGGTTCGGCCTCACTAGCTATTATTGGATCTATCCTCCATGAGTGTTTTTATAGTACCTTTTTTAACCTGGATTTACTTTGTTTCTACAGCCTCCTGTGACAATGAGTTCCACAAGTTAACTATGCACCACATAAAAAGTAATTGCTCTTGTTAATTTTAAACCATTCCCCTACTACTAATTTCAGTGCGTGCTCCCCTAGTTCTAGTATTCAGGAACTTGGTGCATAGCAGTTCCTTAATCATTTTGTGTACACTTGTCTTGATTTTATAAACCTCCATCATATCCCCATTCAGCCTTTTTTTCAAACTGAAGCATCCTTCCACAAAATCAGGAAGAGAATTGATTTTATGTGGAAATTCCCCTAGTATCTTCTGCAGTGAAAACTGATGCAAAGAGTTCATTCAGCTTCTCTGCTATGGCTCCATCATCCCTAAGTGCACCTTTTGCATCTAATGGTCCCACATGTTCTCTTACTGGCTTTCTGAAGTATTTTTTAAAGTTTTTTTTATTGTAACTCATAGCATCTTTCAGTTATTTCTGTTATTTTTAGTTATTTCATAGAATCATAGGGTTGGAAGGGACCTTGTGAGCCATCCAGTCCTGCAGACTGCTATTCCTAAATCGTCCCCAACCAATGCTGATCTAGCCTCCTCTTGACAATCTCCAGTAAAGAAGATTCTGCAGTTTCGCTGGACAGATTATTCGACTGTCTTGCTGTTCTGCCATTTCACAGAGAAAATCAACATAGAAATCAATGTATCTTACCATGTTAGCAGCTGGTTAGTCCATCTCCTCTTAGTGAATACTTAATGCTCACTCCTCCAGAACTGAAGCAGCACCCTTATCCTGCTTGGGAAACTTGTAGGTATACTAAATCTGTAAGGATCCTCCCTGGATTAACAGACTGACAGTCAAGATTTTTTCAACTAGATCAGACACCAGGTTTGAAAAAGCAGTGCCCTGTCTGACCAATGCAGCTGGAGCTTCTCATTCTTGCGGTGATGAAGGGGATGTTGTTTGCCAGTCTTTAACAGTGGTATCCACACTGATACATGCCTTGAATGACTGACCTATTCTTTTTAGATGCATTTAGATTGCATCCAACAACCTGTTTTTCATCCCTGCTTTATGGGGGATCCTCACTCTCTGAATTCTAAGGAAAGGAACTGATCTTTCCATTCTTTATTCTGGCATGTTGGCATAAGCTACATACGTGGCCTCAATGGATGTTGCTAAGAAAAGTCTTATTTTGTGCACATCTGCAATGGTATGCATGCGGAGTACTGTATCCCAAAGAGTCATAATCACTGGTTCAACGTTGCTATTCTGTTCTCAGAACAGCAGCTGAGAAAGTTGCTGTTCTATTTGACATCTTTTGAAGACTAGACAACTTTCTGAAATAAACAGTTTTGTCCAACAAATGTAATTGGGCTCAATACAGAGGTAACTGGGTGAAATTTAATGGCTCTGTTAGGCAAAGAGGTCTATCAAGATGTAAGTCTAGAAGGGGCTATTAAAATTCATGAATCTGTGCATTCAGTTTTAACTGAATTTGTAAGTGTGCATGAGCATCATGGAGCCATGTGTGTGTTCCTTTACACTGAAATTAATGTGCAGTGTCTTTTTGTTTTCCCAGAACTGAGCGTCAGTTTCGGGACCTGTCTCACTGTCTTACGTTGCTTCCACTCTCGGACCGTGGCCTCCACAAGATGCAAGAAAACTTTGATTGCTTTGCTGACAAGCTGCAGGATCCAGCTGTCTACAGATGTTTCCGAGCTACATTGAGCCGACTTCACAGGGGAGGTACCAAGCCTGAGACAAAGGTGAGGACCAGTGAGAGGGAAATCTCCAGACCAGGAAAATTAGGTCCGACTTCAAACCATTCTGAGTTAATGCTGCAGGTTTGAGAAGTGCAAAGACAGGATGGCAGCCAAAGGAAAACTGCAAGTCTATATTCAGTTGTTCCTAGAGTACAGTGAAGTATTACAGATCCTGAATGATACCCAAAATAAGAGATCAAAAACTGAGGGGATGTGGAAGGGATGGGTTCTGGGTGGAATACTGAGGGGTACAGTGTTGATCAGATACTCTCTCTCCCCACTCTGTCTCCTTGCATCAGGTTCTGATTGAAGAATTAGAGCAGAAACTCCATGTTTGCCATAACCGTGGCCTAGATTCCATTGAGGCTCCAGGGGAGATCCCAGGCCAGGAGAGTAGCCAGACACCTGTTCCAGGGCCAGCAAAGAAGAGACCAGTGGCTGGTATGTTTTTTCTTAGGACAGTACTGTCCTAAACTTTTTGTTCCTCCTTGTCTGCAATTGAAGCAATATAGCTGCGGGCTTCTCAGCAATTTCAGATGGTTGGGCTTCCCACCTTTCTGCTTCCCCTGTAGGCTCCCAACGCCGCCAGCCACTGCGCGTAGCCAACAGAGAGGTAGACTCACCATTCATCACGCCACCGCCTCGCATGACTAGACACCACCGGAATGCCTCAAAACGCAATCCATCCCGGAGACCTGCTATCACCTTCTCTAGTGATGAAGAGAACAGTCTTGAGGAGGATGGTAAGGAACCCACCCAGTTCATGGTTTTTTGAAGCCTGTGGGGGTGGGGGGGTGTAGACTATCGCTGTTTTGGACCACCTTATAAGGTGGCTCCTACCAAGCGCTACTTGCATGTTCTTCTTAGGACCCTAACTCCAGATTGTCTCTTTGTGTCTTATGGATGTGCAGAGGACTTTAGATGACCCTTTTGTCACCCGTAGATTTATCCCCCTTGCTAGGGTTGCCTGAATTGAAAGTATGCGAGTATGTTGGCTCATTAGCAACTAACATGCATCTTCTACCCTTTTAGAGCTTTCAGCAGAATTGAAAGAGGATGAAACCCCTACCAAGAAGACTCCCATTTCTCGAGCTTCTGCCCGCCGTGCTCGATGATGGAGCCCTTTGCAGATATCTTTTACTAATGAGAAATAAAACTTTTTGTGGGAACCACCTCCTTCTGTCATGCAACCTTTCAGACCTCCATGTCAGTAAGTGACAGAGCTGGGACTTGCAGGAGTCTAAACTTGAGTCCAATGTCACATTGCAGTTTTGCCCTTTTCATAAGCTGGCAACATGTACAGCAGTGATTCTCAACGGGGTACCTTAAGATCCTTTCAAGGGTGTTGCAGGATGCCATACAACATTAGCACTGTTAGCTGTACAAATATGATTCACAAGATAAACCCATACATTTCAAATAGAAATTCATAGTGTTAAAAACATTCTGTCTTATTGTGGTCTTTCTGAGTTCTTTGGAACAGATAAATTCCTTTTTTATTTTTCCAAGTCCTGAAAAGGTTGGGAACTGACCTAGAGTTTACATAACAAGTCAAGCATGGAGTGAATACAAATATAGATCTTTAAAAAAAAAAAAAAAAAAATCAACATATTTTTATTCAGAATGGAGTTGTGTTACTAATCCTTTGTTGTTTTCATTCCATTTGTGTACTATTTAATTGATACAGTGGATATTTAAAAATTTTTGTTCCTAATTATAAATAGAATATCTCATTTTACTTCATTTTTCTGAAGACTACACTTAAAATGCTCACCCATACCAGAAAGACAAGTCTGGAGTCTCACTTTAATAGCTGTACTGCATGAACAGTCAATCAGTATGGAGTCTCATTCTTTTGAGGATTTCTTTCACATTCAAGATTTGTGTTCTTTAGTGTTATAACTTTTGCCTTTCTTTCGTTGAGCATTCTCTTGATATATTTCACTTGCTTTCTTTGTCCAATTCTGTTATTTCTTTCTCATTTTACAAACATACTTCTCTATCATTTTGTTCTTAAAATTTATTTTGTTTTTTCTGATGATGATCTTTATACTTGTTCTTTTAGACCAAGGAAGGATAGAAAAATGATTTCTTTGGTCGTCCAAGAGCTTTTCTTTACTTGTAATTTTTCTGCACCATTATCTGTGCTTTTTCTCAATGCGTTTTTCAGTTCTTCCCATGCCACCTTGTCTTTGTCTCTCTTATCATCCTTCTAACTTCTTCCTGGTAGTGACCTTGTCAGAATTCTACTTTGGTTAGTTTTGGCTTTCTAATTTTTTATCTTAGTATTCTATCTCTTTGTTACCAATCTGTTGCCTAATCCACACCCTGCACTTTGTGGGACCTTAAGATTTCTGGGAGGCAAGGTTCTTTGATTAGATGTAATATATTTTATTAAACCAACTAAATGGTTGGGAAAAAGTTCTTTGCTTTTGGGCACAAATACCCATCATCTGGCATAGGGAGACTGCTGGTGTTGTGTTCTCCAAGGTAAGAAATATGCTAATTTACAACATGCAGGTCTGTGAAAATGCAAATGAGTCAAAGTTTGGAAGACAATGGGTAGAGAGAGGGAGGGAGGGTGGGGAAGGGAGGGAAATTATGAAGGAATGCAAGTGGTCAGCAGGAGGCAGGTTACCTGGGGTATCAGATGTCAGGCAGGTTGTCATGTGTCATAAATCCAATGTCTCTATTTAGTCCACGATTTTTTGTATCCAGTAGATTTATGAAGTGAAGTTTGTAGGCAAGTTCTTGCCTGCGAAAGGTATTTTGTAAATTCCCTTTGAGGATTAGAACTGAGAAATTGGAGAAGGAATGATTGTCTTGTGAGAAGTGGGTGCCCACAGATAATTGGATATTTTTGTCTTTGATGGATTTTCATTGTGCATTCATTTTGGTACAGAGTTGTTTGGTTTCTCCTACATATTTTCCATCAGGGCATCTGGTGCACTGGATGAGGTGCATTACATTTCTGGAGGTGCAGGTATAAGATCCAGGAATAGTGTTGGTTCTGTTGTGGGATATAGTTATTGTGGGACTGGTGGAGATGTGCTGGCAGGTTTATCATTTCTTGTCCTGGCATGGTCTGGATCCATTTGGTGTGGTTTGGGTCATAAGAAGTTTATGTCTGGTGATGAGGTTAGCAAAGTTCGGTGCTTGTTTAAAGGCTAGGATGAGTGGTTCTAAAGAACTGGGTCTTTTTCTAGCGTGGGTTGCAATTGTTTGAGGATTTTCTGTAAAGATTCCAGGGAAGGATGGTGTGTCATAACTAACGTTGTGCATTTTGTGGGGATTTTCTTTTTGTACTGCAGCAATTCTTTGCGTGGTATCCAGGTGGCTCTTTCAAAAGTGCAATCTCTGTCTCTGAAGGAGTGTCCTTGTTGGGTGAAAGCCATTTTTTCCAACTATTTAGATGTTCTAATAAAAGATATCACATCTACCCAAAGAACCTTGCCTGCCTATGTCCTTAGAGCAACATGGCTACAACCAACACCCCTTAACATTTCTCACATCTTTTCTGTTTGTAGTTGATAGTGATAAAATCAAGTGATTCTTTATGTAATTGTTTGCATACACATTTTCACTGTGTCTAATACTGCTGAGCTCTGACAAGGTTTTTTGTGCTCTTGCCCCATGTTGCCTTGAGCATGAAAGGGCATTTTATGATGCCTATACCACAGTTCTTCCCAGCTACCTGGCTCAAAACAGTTTTTCATCATTGTTCCTCACAACAGCTTTCATGTCTTGAGGCATTTTTTTCCACTGGGACTTGTTACACCTTTTTTTAATTATAGTTCTTTTGTTAACCTTATCTCTTCTGCACTGATATGGAAAGGAAGAGCAGGGATGCAGCTAGTCATCAGCCCTAACACTAAGACTTGATGCCTTTTCCATTCTGTCCTTCCCCACATTCTTGTCTTGCTGTGCTGTGAGATGCTGTTATTTTTAAGAGTCTTTTTGTTTTTGTTCTTTTGTTGATTATTTTTAGTTCCATTATAAAGCTGCTTTTTTTTAAACTGGAGGTAGCCTCTTCTTGAGCTATTCATCATTCTCAGGGCTTCAGGCCTTCTCCCTCGTGATGATCCATGTGACAGCACAGTGCGGGGCGCTACTATGCAGACCTCACTGTGTCAGGCCCCAAACCATGCTTCAGGAGTCTCCCTTGGGGAACCTACAGCCAGCTGTCCCACTTTCTGGAGAACATCCACAAGCCTGGGGTAACGCTGCTACCACCCAGGCACTAGTTTCTGGTCGGGCTCTGCAGCCCGGGGCGCACAGACCCTGCAAACCTTTGGGGTGCTTTGGCCACAGAAATATTTTTGGGTGCTTCTTTCAGCTTGAAGCACCCCAAGATAGCATCAGGTAACTGAAGGAAAATAAAGACAAACTTTGCTGGCCAAGCTTGGAGCGAAAGGCTTCCTCTCAACCCACAATAGCTCAACAAGGAATACTGTAACCTGATACCTTTGAGGTGGGGGTTAGGAGGAGGAAGTCAGAATACATTTTGAGCAAATATAAGCACTTGAGTCTTATATAATCTTGGACTCAGTAATCTTTTTAAGAAACAACTGGCCTACACACAATTCCTAACTCCTGGCTAGTTTCCAGGCTTTTTACTTGCAGTTAATCTCCAGGCAGGCACCTGGGGTCTTTGCTTGCTGCATTCAAAATGCCCACCCCAGGAAGAGGGTGCTCCTTCCTACCCCACAGGAATTTCTCTGGCTAGGTCACCTAACTGACCAGCCTGTACCAAGAAGAAAACCAGGAGTCACCTGGTTTGGCCCAAGTTGGGGGTACAGAGAGGGGGATTTCTTCACAATCTGATCCTTGTGTTACTGGACTTAATATTAGATTGTAGGTAGTGGCACTGAAGTCAAAATACTTGCACAAGAATAGTCTGTTCTCTGAAGAGAGCATTTATTGAGCACAGCAATTTGTAATTTCAAGCATAAGACAAAGAAACAACAAAAACTTTGCCTAAGCTAAGACACAGCAACATAAGACACAGCCAGCAATACACAACTTGGCATAGGTCATGACACGACAGAAACTTTGTGTACATCTTATGTAGTCCTGGGGATAGAGTCTGCAGCAAGGTGTTCCGAAGTTCTTCTGGGGGATATGCAGCTCTTTTTAGCTGGTGAGGGCAGTCCCACAGGCCTCATCTTTGCCTGGGTTTTTATAGGTGATCTGCACCCCCTTCTCTTTCTTGGGTACCTTGAAAGTGGCATGTTTTTCGTGTCCACCAGGTATCCCGTGCCTCCCAAGTCTCAGTAAGTTCCTGGCTTTCGCAGGATTTACAATGTATATGGTGAAAGGTGACACTATTCACAAAGTGCCTGCTGCTTACTTTGATATCTTTTATTAGACCAACTCAAATAGTTGGAAAAAATTTTGTATTTGAGTGTGTCTAATAAAAGATATTACATTTACCCAATGAACCTTATCTGCCTATGTCCTTAGACCAACATGGCTACAACCCATACCCCTGCTGCTTACTTTGAAATGTAGCCCTGCTTTCTTATGTCACATTAGTGTTTAAGCAGTCTGGCCTCTCCCCTGCTACCTCGGGTCATGCGCTCAACATCTATTGGATAGCTTCAGAATCAATGAAAGGACCAGAGATTGTTAATTATGCCATGCCTTTGCTAACACTTGCTTCAAATGGCCCCATGAATTGCCTGTTTTTTTTGGAGCAATGCTATGTTCCAAGCAACTATAGTACTTGGTATGTTGGTTCTTCCAGCCTAGAACCCAGGTAAACAGGGATAACAAACTCAAATATTTTTCTTCAACAAGTCCTATACAGATCATGTTATATTAAGGAAATTAGTGTACTTCATGTAGTAAGTATAAAGGTATGTTTGGTTTTGTATTCTTATAGGTAAACATGGACCAAACTTGCAGAAAGCCTTGGTTTAAGCAAGAGAAAGAGAGGTAAAGGACTAACTTGGTTAGGATGGAAAGTGCTAAGAATTAGGCAAAAGGAAGTAAGTTGATATGCTAACCAGTCCCTTGGTTGCAATGCAGAGTTGAGGGTGTTTGGGTACCTCATACTTTTGAGCTGGTTGCCACACAGGTCTTGATTTTGCCTTCCTCAGAAGCACTGGGTGTTGGCTGCAACCAAGGATGGGGATTTTGACTGGGGTGTGCTGATTCTCCTGCCGGCACTAAAAAGCTCAGAGGTTCCTGGTGAGAGGGTCTTGCTCCTTCACTCAGAACTAAACTAGGTGAGCTCCTGAGGTCTCTTTCAGAGCAGTAGGATATACTACAAATGGAACAAAACCACATCTGACTACCTTCTTGCCAAGATCAATAGAAAACCATCTACATGGACACCTCCCAGCAGTCAAAACCATACCTTGAACCACTGTACTGACTTCTTTTCTTCATAATGCAACAGTGAAATCCTCAA